CTGCCATTTTTTTCAAGAGGGAGGCAACGAAGGATTCTGAAAAAATCGTAGGACCAATTTCAGACTGAGCTATCCACTCTGCCACTACCCGAGCAGACAGTCCTGACAACAATTTTATCCTAGCCAGGGTGTCCGACTTTGTAGAGGCTAAGTGGGCCATCTTGATCCAATAGATCATGAGGTCATCCCAATCAGACTTGTTGTCAGTTATATGGGCTATGTGCAAGAAGGCAATCAACAAGCGCGCCACACCACCTTCTGGCAGGTCCACGGAATGTCGAGCCATTTTAGGCTCCGGCAACACGTTTGCCTCTCCCAGGTTTTGTAATGTCTGTATTTTAACCAAATTACATACCATTACCGGGGAGGGTGTGCCTAGCAGGATAGTCGATGGGAGAGTTAGGGAATCATCCTTGCCTCTCAGTGTAAGGAATCGCAAGATTTGTCCATCGTGTGAACAAATGATCGGAATCAAATAATCCGGGAATCATCCTTTCGTTTTTTTCTTCCTTGTCAACGTCCTCATGGGACCCACCAAGGATAAGGACCGACGAGCCGATTTCGACATCTGTGCTCTGCGTCTCTTCATGGGAGAGCTTCTTGCAAACTCCTCGGTACCAGTCTCATTCTCCTCATCTTCCAGTCTAGGTTGAAATTTCAAGCCCTCCATTCGGGGCCTCTTCGCAAAAGACAGGTTGGCTGTGAAAAAATTATGATCCTTGTTTAATCCGTAGGAAGGAGGGGTGGAGGGGGAAGGCCAGCCAAAGGGGTTCTGTGTTTCCTTCGTTCTCTCCTTTCCCCCTTCCTTCTCCTTCCCCTTCCCCTTCCTTCTTTTATCCCCTGTGGATCGCTTCTACTTCTCGGAAGGCCCTAGTGGAGAGGAAAATTCCGGAGAGCCTTCCTTTTCCCCTTCCGACGAGTCACCGGAGCTGGCCGAAGGACTTTGACTTACCGCTGGGATCAACACTATATTGTCGTTCATGGTCAACTGTTTTAATACAAGGCCCTGAGTCTTGGTCACATCCACCTCCGATGAGTCTGCATTAAACAAGTTGTTATTGTAAATCGTGCAATCCTTAGGCATATTTGTCGTTAACGATGTGAGGGTAGTAGCAACCCTTTCTGTGGTGGCCGAGATTTGCGGAGCCGAGTTCTGCGAACTGGACTTCACCTCTTCAACACCCGGGCGTTGGATACTGTCATACTCTGCCCGCATTTCCCCACATGCCGCCAACTTTAGTTCCTTTCCCTCCGATACACTATTACCGGGAGAGCCGGATGGAATGGGGGAGGGGGGGGAGGAAAGCGTTTCCCACCGATACCTCACCCTTGCCTGCCATTGGCCCAACAGTGCCATTCTATTTGGCCATTCTTTTATATTTCCTTCTGGCCCATGAGGAGGAACAAGTACATTGACTGGCTGTACATTAGATAGATTACCCAATTTCAGAGACTCAGTCCCCGGAATCGATCCGGTGTGTTTATCCTTGTTATGTCCAACCCCTGTAGCTTGAGCTTTGGAGACTCGCCATTCGTTCAACTTTTCTGTTCTTACCTTTCCTGCCCGCAGGTTTTTTCTTTTTATTAATGAGCTTCCTGGTCGCCTTGGTTTACAAGGCGGGGGCCTGGAGATGTTTCTCTCCCCCTTCCTCCGCTTCTCCCTCTTGATGGGAGTCGTCATTCCTATCCTCCATCGTGGTGTCCTCCTCTTCTTCCTTCTTCCCTTCTGTCCTCTTACTTATGTCCCCACCTTCCTTTGCATTGCCTTCCATTCCGCCATTCAAGGCCCTAGAACCAGAGGGTTGCTTCTCCCCAATATTCTCTTTCCCCTTCTCCTTCCCCCCTCCTTCCTTACCTTCGCCCTCTGTGTTCGGGTCCTTTTCCGTTAACTTGTCCTTTCCATTGTTGTCCTGATTAACACTCCGATCCTGGTTGTTCTTCGGTGCATTATCACCCCGGTTTCTGCCTTTGTTCGGCACGGGGGCCTACCCCTTTTTTGTCGGACAGCACTCGTCATCCTCGGAGTGAAAGTTTTGTCGGCAAGCCCGACACCACGGTGTACGGGCACGCACGACTTCAATTGCCACATACCCCCCCTTCTGCATGTCAATAATCAGATATGGTTTATATCGAAGGCGAGCCTGTGCCTCCAGGTCAAACCTAACATTAATAAGTTCGGGGGAGGACATATCCGAGAACGTTTCATACTTCTTCAAGATTGATCCAAAGGCTTTTTTAACCGCAGTCGCCAGGTACGGCAGGGCAGCGACGGGAACATACATACATCTAATCCAAAAAAAACTAAACCTCATGGCCTCGCGCCATTCAAACAATTCGTTCTCAGACATCCAAGGTTTAAAGGATAGTGTATATTTTTTCCCATCCAAGATAATTTCGCCTTCCTTTTTCCTAAGCAACCATGTTGCAATTTCTTTCGCCGAGGCCACGTATGTGACCAAATTGAATCCCTCATTATGAAAGATTCCCCTCTTCAGCGGAGCACTAGTTGCTCTGTTTTTTGCCCACCCATTTTCATGCATCCTGATTAAGCGCACCTTAACGAATATCGGAAGCGATTTAGAGTCGTTCCCGAAAAATACCGAAACGGCATTTTCTTTGAGCCACTCTTCATGGACAACGTAGACCGGGGGGTTGACCACCACTCTTGCAAAGTCTTCCCCCATTTCCACACTCTCAGTATTGAGCTGTTCCGGGAGCAGACCCCCGTGATAACATTTCGCCAGGAGCCCTTTGATCCTGTTCTTGTCCACTCCGCCACTGGCAAGTGGAGGAGTGGACTTTGAGGTTGTGGGCTCTTCCATTTCGACGCAGAGAGCAGTCAAAAAGTCAACTGGTAGAAGTTACGCTACTACGAACAGTTACAAAACACCTAAGTAACCAAACCATGCATTCGAAAAAAAGAAAACTTAAGTTACTGAGGCCTCATCATACGGGAAAAATCACATCATTCCACACCCCCCCAGGTTGAATGGGCTGAAATTACCCCAGAGACTGCCTATGCGCTCGAAGTCGTCGATAAATAATACTTCCCGCTGACGTTACTCCTTCTGTGACGGACTTCTGCACGGTCTGCATCCTTAGACCTCTCCTGGTATTGCCCAATTCCCCGAGCCACTGGTACGTATTCCACCCACCTTCCAACCAACAAGATAATCTGAGGCGAAATGGGAAGATGGATCGAGCACCACGGAAGATAGTACCAGCTATGGAAGTTCATGGGTTATGGATGACGTCCGGCAACTGCTGAGCTTCACTATTCCCTAACCCTAATCGTTTTAGCGTAGCGCGCCGCCGAAGCGGCACTGTCTCGCCCGATTAGCGCTCGGGATTAGCTCTGCGGCCTACGTCCCTCCTCCAGTCCCCTTACAGTCCAGTTTTAACTTTCTTTGAAGTTGCTTAATTTCGGACGCTGGACCCGGTTTCCAGCAGGATCACACGGGGCATTGTCCCCAGGACCTCCGGGTTGAGATGTTGAGGGATTCCCGGCCTCATTTTATCAATATATAATGCAAATGGCAGCTTCCTCTGGAAAAAAAATGACGGAAAAAAAAAAAGAAAAAAAAGGAGAATGTGGGAACAGCAGTTAGGTGACCAACATTTGGCACTTCTATGATGCATCGGTGCATCATGATGTTTCTTCAGCGCGGCCTTCAGTGACCAGACAGTGGACCGTTGGTAGAAACAACAACAAAAGAAGTTCCATCAAGAAGATCCAACTCTACCCAACGGTAGGTCTACAGTAGTCTACCGGGGTCGTTGCAAGGCACCCCTTGGTCGTAGATGTAGTGTCAGGATGACAGTGGGCTGGCCAGAGTCAGGGTGTGCGCGCAAACAGAGCGGGCGCAGCTCCCACTTTCGCGGGTCTCCATTTCTGCTTCAGACTTTCAGCCATATCTGTACGGATTACGAAATGAAATCGCTATTATTGATGTAGAAAGAACACTTCTTTATTTACGAAGAGCTTGTAATTTCATTGAGTATATAATTCGTTCAAATGGTCATATATTATTTGTAAATACTAATCCACAAAACAATCAAATAATTCCGAAAATGGCAAAAGAAAGGCCTCGCCTAGCGAGCCGTGGAGACCAGATTCATCGGTCGGCTTCTCTTGACCCGGGAACGAAGGATCGACTGCCGGAAACGGAGAATGTGTAAGCAGGTTGGACTTGGCCCCGCCTATCCGGAGAGGTAGACCAGATTCAGAGATCGGCCTTCTTTGCGTGACCCCGCAACTCGGCCCCCCCGCCTTTCCACGCACCCCGCGGCACGTGAGTTGATCAAACGAGAGCGCGGCGCTCGGCGCGCAGCTAGACGTTGGAAGAACGCTCGTCGGGGCGCAGCTGCCGCGGGCGCGGGCGTGGGCGTGGGCGTGTGAACGGACAGGGGGGCAATGCCGCCAGCGGGCACGGCGGGCGAGAGCCCGACATAGCTGGGAACGGCGAATTCTCTGATGTAGATCAGCCTCGGCGGAGCTTGCTCTCCAGACTTGACATCCGATCCCATCGACGGTGCTCTTCAGAGCTGACCTTCAATCACGTCAACAGCGACGTGGTTGTCGTTTCCGTCAATGGAAAATGGATTTAGCTAATTATTAGATATTGAGTTAATTGGAACTGAAGGCGTCCCCCACCCCCCCCCAAAAAAATAAATAAATAAAGGGAACTGAAGGCGCACGGCAAGGTAATGCCCTTGGTTCGATTAGTGCTTGCTTCGTTCTTACGTCTGCCTGGCCTGGTCGTCACACTGTATGGGGCGGTCCTTACACTAAACTTTGGGGATGATGAGGCGGAGGGGTTCTTGATTGCCCCGGTCATTTACACTGATCTTCGAGGATGATGAGGCGGAGGGAGGGGTTATTGATTACTGAATTGTAAGATGAGGGGGGAGGGGGGGGGGAGGGGTTCTGGATGACCGGGGTTGGAAAATGAGTGGGCTGGAAATGTGACGCCGAGCCGTACTCTTGTACACGTGTACAC